TTATGTAAGGAAATTCACAGACAGAAGGGAATGCGTTTGAAACTCCAAGAATAAGAACAAACTAAGGGTCTTTTAACTTTCTTTTGCCATTTAAATCTTCATGAGATTCAAGAAAAGGATCTGCCTTCTTTCTTAATGGCCACTGGAGAAAGAGTCCCAATTTGGAAGTTGGAAAACATGGGCATACATTGTGCTACTGACACTGTGACCTTGACAGGTAAGCCTGACATCAGTGAGGCAATGAGCCTCAGATTTCTTTTTGTGTACCTGCCTGTCTTGCCTCACATAACGGGAAATAAATGCAATCACCAAAATAAAATCCTTTTGCCTTTTTGAAAAGCCAGATGCCATGGTAGAAAGACTTTTTAGATAATTTCCTCTACTGTGATAGGCTTCGATTTGAGGAAAAGAGGCAAAAACTGCCTCTCCCACAGTGTGCCTTCACTCACATTCAATACTCCAGGCTTCCTGTTTTGATTGTTCCCGTTGATCCGAAAAATAAAGTGCAACGTCCCATTCTTAGATGCAGGAAAAAGAAAAGACCACGCAGTTGAGAAACACGCTTGAGGAGCCTTCAGCTTGCAGAGCTCCGGCCTCGAGTAATAGACCACAATGTTTACATGATTCACTACAGCTTTGACACTCTTCACAAATCAAGTCTGATTGGGTTTCTCATTGAAGCGATCTGACAGCCTAACCATGCCGCCTCCTGGGGCTGACTGTTCTTTTTTGCCCCCCTCTCTCGTAACAGATAAAAACAAGCCCAGAAAACAAGACAGTTTGGAAATGGTAGTCTCCAAACTTAGTTTTCTTTTTTATTTATTGTCATGCAGTTGCTTCTTTAACCCGCTCTATTGATCTTGAGTGGGAGGTGGAGGCGCTTGGCTGGGAGGGGAGCACCACTCAGAGTTGGGTATCTGTGCTTTGGTCCCCTGGGAAAGAAATAAATAGCCCCAACCTAGAAGAAGGGGGGACGAGGGTAAAAAAAATCCCGGAAGATTGACTGGTTTGCAAGGGATCCCAGTGGATTCCTGCTTACACCAGAGCATCATTTAAGCCTATGTTCTTCCATCTACCTTGTTTGCAGTAAATAGCTGCCCATTATATCAGGTCAGACAAGTGCCGGGGCGTCACAGCTCAGTGGCCGTGATCTGCCCGCAGAGCAGCCAGAGAGATCCCCCAGAGAGCAAGTGCGTGTGTCAAGTTCTGGAGCCGTCAAGGTTCTAAGCGACAGCTTATCTTGAGGGTTTAAAACATGCAAGCTGTCCCTGCTTGCTTCTCCCCCCCTCCCCCATCACACTCACTTCTTTCCCTCCGCCCACTTATTCACCCCCACCCAGTCTTTTTCCTCTTGACAATCTGCTTGAAAGAAGACAGATGCTGGAGTAGTTTTCCTTAAGTCGGCCCTAATTCCGTAAGGTGCAATCTACCAAACGCAACTCTGTCCATCTTTTGAAAAGGCTGAGATCCTGAGGCAGCCCATTTATTATTTGTCTTGACACTAACACAAATATTTTCAGATGGGTTAGAGTCTGTCACTTTACTATCCTTATGTTCTTTGCCCTCAATAAATAAGACACATTAAGGTTCTTAAAGGCAAACAAAGAACTGTATCCTGGGTACCATTTGTCCTGCAGTTGCCATGTTTAATTGAACATTTTATAGCACTCTAATGCCATGTCAGGTTCTTAATGTGACATGTGTTCTTCTCTTACATTATCAGGGGCTAAGAACACTGTAGAATCTTCCTTGGATTCATGTGTATGAGAAAAAAGATTTATCCTGTGCACTTCGCTGAATCATTTATGAGTTGCCTTATCTCACCCAAGCAATTTTATAACTTGTAAATGGCCCCTCTGGTCCACTGTCTGGATTTTGTTTACTTTAAAATCCCAGAATAGTATGACTATTTCCAAGATAGCCAGCTAAATTTTGCTGCAGTACAGACCTACCATGCATCTGTCCTGTATTTTCCATTTATTAGTTCCCAGATAGGCCTGGAACCAGTGGTGGGGGTGGGTGGCTGATGTCTAGCTTTGGGGCTGCGTGCACCTCTAGTGTAAAGGAAAGAGCAGAGGTGTCTGTTAAACATCATAAAACCATCATAGTGTTCAGCAATTATCTTTAGAAAATCTAGAGTCTAGGTCAGAACCTCCAGCTGCTTACATTCCAGCAAAAGTCAGCCCTGTCTCAAGATGATGCCCACTCCAAACCCACAATGACAAAGGGTAGGATGCTGGTTATACCAACAAGAGAGTACCTATGTTTGAAAGAATACGTAAGTGTGCAAGGTGGGTGATTAAAGGAGAATTGTGGTGAGATGGCTGGGCGGTGAGTCCTTGAGCAAGAGAGCTGCCTTCTTGGTGACTAAATTCCTGTTGGGGGCACAGACCTGGGCTCCACATAGCGGGCTACTGACTGGTTGGCCAGTCAGCACAATTCCATCCCATTGCAGACATGGGCAGAACGACTTAAACCTTTTTCAGAGGTGACCTACGCAGACAATGTGGTTCTCCCCTGCACATGACAGTGTCATATTGTCCTGAATATTCCGAGTGTTTCTGTGTATTTCTGGCAGTAAATACAAGACAAGATTTGTTTCTGATGTTTATTTCAGAATGTCCATGCTAACTTTCAAAACTCATGTAATATATAAAAAAAGAAGATGGTCTGTGTTTTGGATCAAAAGCATTTATTTACTTTTTCAAAAATTACCTTTAAAATGAAACTTCTCTGAAGAGGAAATGCAAATGGCCAACAGACATATGAAAAAATGTTCAACATCACTTGTAATCAGGGAAATGCAAATCAAAACTACCATGAGATACCATCTCACACCAGTGAGAATGGCACATATTAAAAAAACTAGCAACAACAAATGTTGGCGAGGTTGTGGAGAAAAAGGAACTCTTCTGCACTGTTGGTGGGAATGCAAACTGGTCCAACCACTATGGAGAGCTGTGTGGAGATTTCTGGACCTACTAAACATAGAGCTTCCATATGATCCAGCAATTCCACTCCTAGGTATTTACCCAAAGGACACAGAAACATCAATTCCGAAGAACACCTGCACCCCTATGTTTATAGCAGCACTATTTACAATAGCTAAGCTTTGGAAACAGCCCAAATGCCCAAAAATAGATGACTGGATCAAGAAGATGTGGTACATATACACCATGGAATATTACTCAGCATTCAAAAAAGATAAACACATGCAATTTGCAGCAACATGGATGGCGCTGGAAGGGATCATGCTCAGCGAAATAAGCCAGAAAGAAAAAGAAAAATACTGGATGGTCTCACTCATAGCAGGAATCTAGAAAACTTAAATAAGGGATCAGGAAAATGAATAACTATAAGAAAGTGAAAATCAAAATCAACAAAAAACTATGAACCAGAGACACTTTTTGGGGGGTGGGGGCCGGGAGGGGAGGGATTGGGGTCAGAATGGGGCATGTGCAGTTGTATGGGGGAATATAAAAATAAAATTTATTATTTTAAAAAAATAAATAAATAAATAAATTTAAGATGGTAAAAAAAAAAATTCAATCATAAGTCAAACATTGGAAAGAATTTTTTTTTTTATTGTTTTCCATGGTAGGCAGTGCAGCATTGAGAATGGGATCTGGAATTCATTGCTTTGTTGTTTTACTCTCAGGTCTCAGTCTACTTATCTGTAAAATGGAAAAAAAATGGAGTTTTTATTGTGAACCTTGCTATAATGATTAAATATGAAATGCCTAAAGCAGTACCTAAAACATTCATAAGCACTAATTGCTATAATTTTTGTTGTTTTCCTTACTATCACATTCATTTAAATTTGATTTGTGAAACCCCAGAAAAGACTGTATAAAATGTGGCAGACGTTTTGTCTCTGTCTTTTTCTATAACTTTCCATCACAGATCATGGTAGTGGCACAAATATTTATTGAGTGCCTACCGCGACAAATATTGTGAGAAATAACTAGTGAGCTGGCAAATACTCCAGGTGAATAGTTGTGAGATTTAGATTTACAACGGAAAACCTCATTCCTCGAGTTCATACAAAGCCTTCTCGTAGAGTTTTAAGGTGTGTGTCTGTGTGTTGGTGGGGGGAGGGGGTGTTCTGGATTTTATCCATCTATAGTTCACCCTCCTGGGAAACCCACAAAAAAAATAGTGACAAATGACCCAGACAGTTTGATCCAAGGGCTTACTCCATTCTTACAGCTTTCTTTAAATGTCTACCAGTAACCTTGTAAAAACAGTGTTACATCTTTTCTTAATTGAATTCACCATAAAGGACTACCGGCAGACCATCCTTATCCCTCCACCCTCTCAGTCACTGTAGAAGCCTCTGTTATTAAAATATTTCTTACAGATGGGTAATTTATATCACACCTATAATAAATCTTTCCATTTTCCCTAGGATGCAAATGTGAGAAACATCAAAGAAATTCAATTATAAAAACCTATTTTCATTCGGTTAAGGACACAGGAAAATTTATTATGGGTTGTTATTTACCATGTTTCACATGAGCATAAATGAATTCAATTTCAATCAAAGTATCTGTCCTAATAGGTTTTGACTAGACTAAACCCAAGCATGATGGTCTGAGAAGATGCAAGCAGTACTACAAGTATGCTAAAGAAATCTATTGCTAAAAATCTTACAAAAATAAGTTGGCTACCTAGACACATTTAGGGTTTGGTCCTGGGCCTGCTTATTTAAGCAGGAGAGTGATGACATAAATGGAAGACTTAAAGCGTTGTCCACTTTAACAACCTAGTCTTATCTGAAAAGAGGTGTGAGAAGGGCCACTCTGCTAGGTAGGTACCCATGAGTTTCTCAGAGATTTCTGTATTGTTTCTCTTTCTCAAGCTCTGTTCTGCATAACTGGATATACTTGGGCATCTTGATGTATATGGGGCTTGCCTTCTTTGTCATAAGATGGATTCTGTATGAACCAGTAGGACATCCTTTCTCTTAAAGGCCTCTTCCCTCTGTTTATGTATTTTAGGAGGTAGCTTCATAGAGTTCTCACCACCCCCCTATAGGGACTGAATGAAGTGTGAGAGGGAAGCTGCTCCAGATGAAGTACAAAGCAGGTTTGTACAGCACCCCCATATCCCCTGTGGGGGGCTGCAATTTGGAGAGAGAATATTGCCATAATCTCTTACAAGTTAATGTTATTTTCTGATTCATGACTCTGGTAGATACTTAACTTCACCCCCTGCATCTGCTATAGAGGTGTTATTGTCCAAAAGAACTGTGCAAGAATCATTTGAGCTGTGTGAAGAACAAAAACTGAAACATGTAAGTGCCTACTAACAGGAACATGAATGATTAAATTGTAGCAATTGGTACAGTGGATTATTACAAAGTGGTGAGAAGGAGCAAACCATATCTGCATGCAGTAACAATATTGAAAACAACATGAAAAAAAATCACAGAAAATTACATATATATATTATATAGTTATAATACTATTATATGTCAGTAGTAATTTTTATTAAAGCCACATTACATTATAACATTATATAAGTTTCAGTTGTGCATCATTAAAAATTGACGTGTGTATATATTACTTTAAGTGAACTAATAAAAGTTCAGTGCTAACTTTCCCCATACAATTGACCCCTTTTATCTGATTTACACACTCACCCTTCCCCTTTCCTTCTGGTAACCATTAATTGGTCTCATAGTCTAAAAGTCTATTTTAGCTTGTCCATTTGTTTGTTGTCTCTATATACCACATGAGAAAATATACAGTGTTTGTCTTTCTCCAGCTCACTTATTTCACTAAGAAAAATGCCTTCTAGGTCCATCGAGTTGTTGCAAATGGCATAATTTTATCTGTTGATAGCTGAGTAGTATTCCATTTTGTACATATGCCACATCATCTTTATCCACTCCTCTGTCAGTGGGCACTTATGTTGTATCCAGCTGTTGGCTATTGTAAATAGTGCTGCAGTGAATATGGAGTGTATATATTTCTTTGAATTAGTGTTTTTATATATTCCAAGTGAAGAGCCAAGGGGGATAACTGGAATTGGTAATGTTTTTATAAAGTTCAAAATACGCAAAAACAAAACAGCATTTACCTCCAGGAGTTGGATGTGAGGTGCAGGTGAAGTCGGTGCAGATATCATTTACCTCCAGGAGATGACATGTTACGAGAGGAGCAGCTAAGTAGTACTCGTAATTGGTGTGGTCTTCAGCTGAGTATTATGTGTGCAAAAGCTTATTTTATTACTATGAAAAAGCACATAATAAGAAATAAAATCCCATCTTTTAAAAATCCTTATCTAAAACAAAGGGTCAGTGGACTCCAACTCAAACCAGATAGAGGGTTGGGTTATAACACATGGTACTATTTCAGTTTATCTGCAGGTCTTGCTTTAAATTTGCCAGAGTTATTTATAGGCCTGTTTCACATCTATCATAGGTCATGAATGAACTTCCGTGGGTCACATTTACTTGATAAAGCTTGCAGGAACAATCTAAAATTGTCATGCTTAAAATATCACGTGGAATTGTACATATTCCCATTTGGGATCTCAGTAGTGTGTCCTTCCTTCTCCAAAGGGATTTCACAGATCTTTGCATGCACACTCAGATTTAAGGAGGTATGCATAATGGCAAACCTACAGTCTTTCATGCTGGTGAATTCCCACAGTAATTCTCTCATGAAAAATCTTTGCAATTTTCTTCTACTTCAAAGCAGAGTCTTTAACCTATTTTTATTTCTCAATAGCTGGGAACGTGGAAGAGTTTATATGCGTTTAGGGTTTTGAACTCTGGAGAAAGACTTTATTTATCAAATGTGTGAGGACTTACAAGAATGAACACATCTTCATTCCTCATTTGTCGTAGACATATAACATTGAAAAATGAAAAATAGGGAAGAAGAAATATGCTTAGTAATTCTTAATCATTTCACAACATATAATAAAAAATGTTTGCTCTTCTCATCCAGAACTTTGGAAATTTCATTATATTAAAAAAAAAAGCCAAAATAAAAAGATGATAGAGTGAAAGTTCTGAAAAGGATCTTGTAGATCCTGATGGAGTCCTACTGTTACAACTGTAGTATTTCTACCCAGTGATTAGAAAATCACATTAGGAGAGAAATTACTGGCTCTAAAAATCCATTGACCTCATAGCTGTTCCTCAGAGGTAGTCAAAGCATCCCACAAGTTTCTCTTATTGATCGTTGTTCCCTGGTGCACCCGTGGGAACAGAACAGTAAAGAAATGTTTTGATCAGAGAAAGAATGACCTTTTATATGAAAGTGTATTAATGCTGTGTTACATGGAAATAACTAACTGTAAGGATAACAAAGAGAAGGATAAAGCCTTATTATTTTGTAACCCTTAGGGAAGTGGGCATTTTTATACTTTTCTACAAAATCAGGGCTTGGTAAAATACTTGAGGTTGGCTTTGCAATGTTGTGTTCTTGATTGGAGTAAGGTTTAATGTTATCACATAGCCAATGAAACACACATGCCAACATGGGGTCATGGGGCCTTAAGTGTGCTTCTCTGCGATGCCTCCAGGAGATGGGGAACCCACGGTGACAGTGAGGACAGCATCCAGCTTAGATGTGCTAGCCACCATGCTCTGTATTTGCCCCTACTTTATCTCCCTCCTTGCACCAACATTCTCAAGTGGCCACAGTTGATAGCTGAGGAGTCTAGGCTCAGACTATTAACATGACACAGCAGGAATGTAGCAGAATCCATTTCTGTGCCATCAGCAGGTTTCCAACCGTGTCAGTGACAGGTGGGTGTTCAAAGGACCTGTGGTCGATCTTATAGAAGAATAAAGAAATTTGAAGCACACCTAATATGAGTAATTACTCAATAACTCCTTAATAAGAACCCAGGGGAAGGAAGGCAGTTAGCTGTTGGCAAAGGAGCTTTTGGTGAAGGGTGGATGAGGCTTGTGCACATGTGAAGGTGTGCTGTTGTCCTCCAACAATTATATAGTTGTGTAAATAGTTGACAAATTAATAAAATTTGGGAATTGAGGGAAGAAAGTAAGAACTAGTTTCTACACCAAGGCATTGGCAACAGTGAAATTAAAAGCCATGACTGAAGGTAATTGTGTATGAGCATTTTTCAGCTTGAGTTTATTAGCATTTGCATCCAAATCTGGCTAGCTTTTTCCTTGTCAAAGGATTTTATCTTCTCTTAAGCATTTCTTGATGTTTGCAGTTTACTCTGTTAATCAACAATTTCATTCAACAGATTTAATCAGATGGTAGGACAAATATGACAGCTCAGTAGAGCAACATGTTTCCAATGAAATACCTGCATGTACTTGAATCTATCGTCTTCAGCTCACCCACCCTGAGTGTCTGGTGTTGACAATCAGCATGAATCATGGATTACACACACAACGCAGGACATGCTCTTCTAATTCCCCAGTGACAGAACAAAGCTAAAAGTTATTATCACCCTGGAGAATAGACTCAAGTCCACAGACATTAAAGAACCATTTGGTCATTCAAACAGCTGAGTAGACCTCAAAAAATAAATTAGAAGTTATTGTGTACTTGCAAGGTAGCAGATGTTTCTCTGAATTCTTCAGCTATAATTTAGTCGAAGAACCAAATATTATAATTCACAGGGATAAAGAGTGTGGACTCAGGAGCCTCACACCCTGGTTTCTAGCCCCAGCTCTGTTGTTGCCAATATATACAACCTTTGGAAGTAATCGAAACTTTCTGTGCCTCAGTTTTCTCATCTGTAAAATGGAGGGAATGATATTCCCTGTCTCGTGGGCTTATCATGAACATAATGCCTACCTAGGAATTGCATTAGTGTGAGTCACATAAGGGCTACATACAAGTTTTGCTATCACAGTCCTATCTCATTTTATTGCACCTGGCTTTATTCACTTCTCAGATAATTGGGTTTTTTACAAATTGAGGGTTTGTGACAATCCTGCCTCAAGCAAATCTGTTGCCACCATTTTTCCAGCAGCCTCTCCTCACTTTGTGTCTCTGTCACCTTTTGGCCATTCTCACACCGCTTCAAACTTGTCATTATTATATCTTTTCTTGATATGTGTGATTAGTAATCTTTGATGTTACTATTACAGTTATGTAGGTGCACCACGGACTGCACCCATATATGATGATGATCTTAACAGCTAAATGTTGTGTATGTTGTCACTGCTCTACCAACTGGCCATTCCCTCTGTCCCTCTGCTCTCCTCAGCCCTCTGTATTCCTTAAGATAAAACAATATTGAAATTAGGCCAGTGAATAACAGTGTCCTCTTAGTAGTCCTTAGTGTCCTGCAGTGTCCTCTTAGTAGTCAAGTGAACGGAGGAGTTGCCTATCTTTCACTTTAAATCCAAAGCGAGAAATGACTATGCTTGGTGAGGAAGGCATGTTGAAAGCTGAGATAGGCCAAAACTGCAGGCTTCAAGTACCAGTTAGCCAGGTTATGAATGCAAAGGGAAAATTCTTGAAGAAAATGAAAAGTGCTAATGCTCCAGAGAACACACAGATAGTAAGAAAGTGAAACAGCCTGACTGCTAATACGGAAAACGTTTTAAACCAGATACAACATTCTTTTAAGCCAAAGACTAATGCAGAGCGAGTTCCTAAGTCTCTTCAATTCTGTGAAGGTTGAGAGCAGGCCAGATGCTGAACCTCCCTAACTTAAAAGTACAAGGTTTTCAGTGTTATTGAAATAGCCTTATATTGGAAAAAGATGCCATTTGAACTTTCCTAGCTAGAGAAAAGTCCATGCCTGGCTTCAAAGCTTCAAAGGTCAGGCTAACTTCTTGTTAGGGGCTATATAGCCAGTACCCATTTATCATTCCAGAAATCCTTGGGTCCTTAAAAATTATGCTTGATCTACTCTGCCTGTGCTCTATAAATGTGATAACAAAGCCTGGATGACAGCACAACTACTTTCAACATGGTTTACTAAATATTTTAAGTCTGCTTTTGACACCGATAACTCAGAAAAAAATTATTTCTTTTTAAATATTACTGCTCATTGACAATCCAAGAGTTCTGATGGAAATGTACAGAATGAATATTATCTTCATGTCTGCTAACACAGTATCTATTTAGCAGCTGATGGGTGAAGGAGTAATTTCAACCTTCAAGTTTGTTTTTTTTTTAATTAAAAAATGTGTTTTGTAAGGCTGTAGCTGCCATAGATAGTGATTCCCCTAATAAATCAGGGCAAAATAAACTGAAAAGCTGTAAAGGATGCCATTAAGAACTTTCTTGACTATTGGGAGGTCCAAATATCAACATGAATAGGAGTTCGAAGAGAATGATCCCAACCCTAATGGACGATTTTGAAGGATTCAACACTTCAGGGGAGGAAGCTACTGTTGATATAATGGATATAGCAAGACAA